TTCTTAATGATGAAAAAATACATGTCTGTCAGATACTTATAACTGTACCTGCCAAACCCAGCTTAGGGAACAAAGGTAGCCAATAGAAAAAGATTTGCCTGTCACCAGGATTCCAGCAGTAGGGGCTGAAGTCATGCCCTCAGTCCCATGAGATGATGAATAAATGCCACTAAGGGACTCGGATGCAGAGTATGCAGGGACTTTCAGAGCTAAAAGAATCCTGTAACACTTAAAAGTAACTTACTGAAATCTATGCAAACATCACCTTAAAAGATATCCAAATTAACAGGTTATTCTTATTTCTGCATTTGAAGAACATTCACAAAATATAAACACTAGGATAAATTTACATCCTTAGCTACCTAGGAATAATTCTGAAAAGAATTCTTATTCACTGTTAATTGAAAAAGAAACAAACTGGAATGTAGACTAGCTTCTGCTTTCTCATCTCAAGTATTAAGAGGGGATAGATGATAGGGGTGACTTTGTGAAGGCATGGGCTGAGGGGTGCAGAGAGTATTTGTTTAGGATGCTGAAGAGGGAGAAATTATGTTAAGCATTAAAAGAAAATACAGTTAGTTAGCTGGAAAATCAGGACCAGTGTTCAGTTTCTTTTAATAGTCTTTCTTCCATACCACACTTACATCAGGGTAAGCTAGATGACTTCTCAAAGTTCTTTATAGATTAAGACACTAGTCAAGAACTAAAGCCATGATTTATCACAATCAGGGATTTTTTTCACGTGGGGTCCATGGACTATGCTCAGTGAGTCCTTAACCCACTGATATTGATGCCAGATTGTGTGTCTGTATGTTTGGAAATTTGTAGTTCCCAGTGCCTTCTCATAATGGACTAATCTAACAGCAAGCATCCCAAAAGTTGAATTTGAGATTAATTTCAGAGAAAGAAATTAGGAAAAATCATGCAATGAACGAGGTAGCCAGTTATAGGAAGAACAGGGGATTCTCAGGTTCAACAATTTGAGAATAGTCACTAGAGAACCTGATTATATCAGCATATCAAAACCCGAGTGGGTATACAGGAAAACTCTCAAGCGTTGGGGATTTCTGAGATGCCCAGGTGATCAACTAAAACTTCATCACAAATTTTTCTCTCCCTTAATACCTATTCAAAAAAAAAATCTAGAAAATTCACCAATTCAGCAACCAAAAAATGAAAGGGCCATATCCCCAAACTAAAAAGAGAAGTTAAAAAATAGACAGGGACACAAAGGAACATAATATTCTGAAACAGAGCAGAGAAGAATGAATGAGCTTACTTCTTAACTTTACCCTTTCACCCACCTACCTATCTCAAGCTATATGAATAAAGATACCAAGTATCTGAGATTCACACTAATACCCCCAAATTTGCAGAGAAACAAGCCTAATTCATCACCTTCCATTTTTCATTTACAGTTCATATATATATATATGTGTGTATATATATATATATGTTTTTTTTAGTATAAACTGTTAATATTTTATTCACCATGAACACCCCAGGCAAATACTTGTTATATTTGACCAACTGGTGTCAAAAATGCTATGCAGGGTTTGGAGGATTTTTGCCCTAGCTTTACTCTCCAAGTCACCCACGAGCTTTCTGGTTTGTACGTTTCAAAGATGCTTTCACAGCATTTATGAACCCCTCAAACTTTCTCACTGTCCATGACTGGAAATAGCTTCGAGAAAGGCTGGGGATGTGGAGAAAGTGAACTATGCAGCTGACTCTTTATAATGAAAGGGAAAGCTCCAGGGCTACTCACTAAGATGGGAGACGATCTGACATCTGAGATATTTCCCTGTGGGAATGAGATATGAGATATGAGCTAGAATAAACCCTTAGCAAAGATAACATGACTCAGGTTTTCTCATGCAGGCTGTATCTTGCCTCAACAGAGCATATGTCTCCCCGACCATGTACTCAAGATACGGAAAAAGTAAATAGAAGATGAAATGCTCTGTCCTCAAACAGAAACTAAGAGTGGAATCCAAACTGGACTCAGATATGGGGGAAAGAAAGTAAAGACTTGACCCACACTGTATCACAGCAAATGGAAGGTCGGCTAGAGCTACTGAAGCCTGAGCAAGAGAAGACACGGCATGGCAACCATGCAAGCATGTCAGAGCCAGAGAACATATGTAACTTTCCTCAGGTCATAGAAGATGACAGAAATGGGATTCAAACCCAGGTGGCCTGATGTGCCTGGGAAATCTGGATGGAAGAGTGTTTTGTTTACTAAACTCTATGTTGGGGTTACCTATTCTAACTTTTACACAAAACAAATGTTTGATACATAATTATTAAATGGACCAAACAAGAATTCATTTCAATAAATACAACAGAAGAAATGTGAGGTAGAGGCAAGAGTAGTAGATGGGGAAGTCAGAAGGCTTCTAGACAGAGTTCTGTTACTACCTAGTTTTGTGACTTTAACTGGGTTTCTTAAATTCCCCAACCATCATTTCTCATTTGTGAACTGTTGGAGGTGGACTACAAATGGATGATCGCCAGTGCTGTCTTTACTCCAGTAGTCTCTGAAGTTACATATGAAGGCTATATCCCTATGATCTTTCCCTATTCCCTTCAATCTGTCTGGTTTTCACATTTCTTATTCACAATTCTTTTCTAACAAAGTCGATTTTCTTTGTATTTTGTTCTCTTTCAGCAACGATTCTGTATTCCTTCATAATGTTAAGCTAGTCTTTTGCTAATCTATCCACCTACATGTCCATTTCTTGAATATATTCTCTTAAATCTGGGTGTAGGTAAGTACATGGACTCTAGTTGTACTTACAGGGTTTGTTTTGGTCTTACTCAACCTAGCTGAAGCCTCAACTTCAAGATATTTTCCCAAGACTGGCTGCTCTTGCTCCTGATTTCTTTCTTTCTTCTTTTGATAACTATTATTTCAATCCTATAGCAGTGAGCAAGGCAATTTCTTTCCATCTGTTTTCAGTATTTCCTCTACGTTTAAGTTGTAGAATTCTCAGAAGTCACAGACACAAAATATGTCTATAGCCAGGCAGGTAATGAAAAAGTATATTTTCTGGATAATCTAGAAATACAGATTTTAAAGTGAAGTCTCTTGATTCATTGAATTTTGGTATCTGTTTGAAATATATTTGATATGAAACTTGTTTGCTGGCTGAAGTTGGCCTTTATCCTTCCATTTAGGACCTCTGCGAGTCTAGGATCACTGGGAAGGCTAAACATCTTCGTTTTTTGAAAAGTCACCGTCATCCTCCTGCCCCAGTGTTCCTGATACACGCGCATCCACGAAACATTCCTTTCTGTTCTGCATGCCTAGTTTTCTTCACTCCTCTACAATTCAATACTTTCTTTACCTCATCTCCCGACTTTTTCACTGTTTCCTTTTTTTTTTTACTTCGGTCTTTTCTCCATTCCCAGTAAATGCATGGCATAAGGGTAAGGAGGGGCAAGAAGAAAAGTGAAGATTTTATCCATGTTAAAATGTTTCTGAAAGCAGTGGAGCGCCAAAGGCAGAACTCTAATTCTGTCTAGTTCTGCATGCTGGGTGAAAGAGTCAAAACCAAAATTCTCAGTTTGGGCCAGGACCAAAAGAATGAAAATCAGCTCAGACTGAAGTGAGAAAAAGCAACGATGCTGGGAAAAGAGACACAGTTAACAGAGCAGCTTGTTTTTTCCCACTCCCATGCAGCAGCTGTAAAATGCCATGTCTTGGAATAATACTGCTCGCTTGCCAATGATGCCCAGACCCACTTCGCTATTTTATGACTAGGCTACCCAATTACTGAAGGATCCTCTCCTCATGACAGCATCCAATCCTCGGTTAAGCTTCGCTTTTCCTAATACCGCCTCAGAAACAGCGTCCAATCCAGAACTGATCCCCGGTCTCCCTAGACCCTACTGACTCCTTTGGCGGGAACCTAAACCTTACAAAAGACGCTTCAATCTCCCTTTTCCAGGGGTATCCACGTTTCCTCTGGAATGCTCTTCCTCTTGACTTACAAATAAATCTGATGTTATCGAATTGCAGGCTTCCCTGCTGGTGGTCTTTGGCTGATTTGGCTTTAACACGAAACAGGTTAGTATCAGGATCTCTATTGATCATGTTTCGTAATCTTTGCTAAATCGTCCTCTGAGCAGTTTAGGTTTTCACTTTTTAATAGATAAAACCCAAAATAAATGCTTTCTATAATAGTCCAATCAGCACATTTCTAGAGCGCAATCCCCCATCCCTCATGCAGCCCTAGAGTCCGTTTAGAAATGGCTTTAGTCATTTTATCTGGTTCTGATTGCAGCGAATTCAGTTTAAATGACTTCAGTTCTGAATTCCTGAGTTACATGAAAATGTAGCAGATGCGGGTGTGTGGGCTTTGAATGTGTACATTTTTAATGTGGTTACTCTTAATTCAAGATCACTGAGGACAGGTTGGGATCGTTTTTAAAAGGCTCTTCTCTAGGAGATGGAAATTCCAAGCTTTATCCATGTTCTCCTGGGCGCCCCCCGGAGGCATAAATTACAGGATGACCTTATTGAGTGCGGAGGAAACTGCGTCTTTCATCGTCATGAGCGATGCACACCTGGAATCAAGACCGAGCGCCCCAAATCTACTACCTGGAGCTGGGTTGGGTCTCATAGAAGGGGTCCCGGGGTCTCGGAGCGGGACAGTGGGGCTTGCGAGCGTGGGCCACCTCTACTGCGTGGGGGGCGGGGGGAGGGAAACCCTCGGCTGCGCGGCTCAAGAGCCGGGTCCTTGCTCCCGCACCGCCGCTTGGTTGCCCGCGTTAACTACTCGGTAGCCCAGCAGCTGCCTCCTCCCCGCGACCAGAGGCGCAAACTGCCAGGGGCCCGGGTCCGCCCACAAGCGGCGGCACCCACGCCCAGAGCCTTGGGCCTGCCGGCCCCGGTGCAGTGCAGCAGAGCGCGCTCCCGCCCGGGACGGCCCAGCTAGCGCGCACGCGCGCAGGGACCCGCGCCCTCCGAGGTGGGAGGGGGCAGAGGGGGCGTCGCTGGGGTAAGGGGAGGAGGAGGAGGTCGCGTCGCCTCCGGCGGGGCTCGCGCTCGCCCTCGCGCTTGCCCTCCGCCTTGCCCGAGCCCCGCGAGGGTGAAACGCTTTCTCCCAGCATGCAGCGGGAGGAGGGATTTAACACCAAGATGGCGGACGGCCCGGATGAGTACGAGGCCGAAGCGGGCTGCGTGCCCCTTCTCCATCCAGAGGTGAGGAACGGCGCCCAGCGCATTCCTCGCCCTGCAGCCCCCCGACCTTTCTCCGCCGGACTCGTGGTGGGGCGGTGGCCTACGTGTTTGGGGTAGTGGAACGTGCCAAAGTTGGGGAGGGCGGGAGGCAAACCCAGGCCCGAGCGCGGCAGTGAGCGGATAACGGGGGAGGAGATAGCGGGGCGGGCCCGGCCGGGGCGGGCTCTGGGACGCAGTCCCTGGCTGTGCTTGGAGGACAGAGGTGGAGATGTTGATGGTTCTCTGACGCCTCGCTGCTCGCGGGTGCACTGGCGACCGGGGCCTGGTGCTGGTTTGTAACCGCACCTTAAGCCCCTAGTCCTGCTCCAAGCCTCTCGGGGGCGAGGAGGAAGCCAGTCTGGTTTTGATTTTTTCTCTTTTCCTTCACCAGAGTGAATGACGGTATCTCTTTCTCCCATTTAGTTCATTGTTGGGGAGTGTGAAGTGAGAACACAGTTTGTTGGACAAAGTGATGTCCTTCCAGGTTATGCCATAGGCAGCACCGTTGGGCACCTGGTGTCGAATGTCCTTATTTGAGCGTTTGTCCTTAAGCGTTTAAAAAGAGAGGTCAAAACTTTTGGGAGTAGACCCACTCTCACATTAGCTTGTCAAAGTGCGGCGTTTTGGGGGGGAGCCAGCGGAGGACAGTGCAACACGTTTCCCATCACAACATGAGTATCTTTCCATGTAAGTAAACAGTGCCCCGCTCCAGGATCGGCAGCATTCTGCACTTGTTTACAGCTGAGCTAGTGCTAGTTCAGGCCTGGCGGCAATTCTTGATGCATTCCGGATTTTAATGACCCACAGTGATCTGCGGAGAGGCAGCGGCAAAGCTTCCTGAAGAACTCCCGTAGTTTTTATGAGCTTAAGGGATGAAGACAATCTTCGTGTTTTAGTAGGCTGAACAAACATGGAAGTCTCTATCCGGTTACTTTGCATTAGAATGATTCTATTTATTTCTGTATTGGGGGTTATAGCATGCTTGTATTATTTAGTAAAATGTAAATACAAGCACTTATCCTGTATATGTTAATATTCATCACCTTCTCATTCATCACTTTGATTTATCAAAACCAGTGTGGGACAGTTCTTTAGGAATATACCTGGGCCACTCTGAATAGAAAAAACTACTCTGGATTTTTGACAAACAGGGCTGTACAGTAAAACTAAATTTCTTTTTCTTTTTTGGCCAAAGTGGTAATATTTTCAGAATTGGCAATGGAGATATCTTTTAGTTCACATATAGGTCCTAAAAATAGATCAAGAAATAGACAAAGTTTTCAGATTATGCACTGAAAATGTTGCTAAGGAATATTTCTCTTCATGTATTCCTATGGAAGTATTTTAAGTCCTTAAATGTTGATTCTGTGTGTTTTAACATAACTGTTCTCTCTTCATGCTGTGTGAAATAGTACTTTGATACTTTGAGAGTGATTTCAACAGGCAATAAATCCAGTAATTGCTTGGTATAATAGAATGGCCTGTAGACTTGAAATTTAGAGGCCGGTCTTCAGGTTGCCATTTAATAAGACTATTACTAAAAAATCAGCTTCCTCATCATTGAAAGTGGAAGTAGTTACAAATGATATCTACCATTCCTTTTACTTGACAAGTACAAAGTCTGCTTAGTTTGGGTGTTTTGAGTCTTAAGCTCATAACTACCAGGGCTAAGGTCTTTCTGTACTTTTCCTGTGGTTAGTTTTGCATTCACACCTGGTGTAGACCTGGTATAGTTCTACATCCTTGCAGTGTGTTCTTGGGCAAGCTACTTCTCTGAGTTCTAGATTCATCATTTATAATAAATGGGATGAAATAATAACAAATAAGCTATAATGAGGAATAAGTGAGATAATGTATTCTTCTTTGTTGTTGAAATAAGCAATCTTCAGTCTCCCTTGGGAAGAAATCCATTCTCTGCTTTGGTAAACAAATAAAAGAAAAGTACTTTTAACCCCTTTTTGGAGAGAACATAAGACTTTTGGATTCCAATTCTGGATTTGTAGTAATTTGCTAAGTGACTTGAGACAAGTTCTTAATCTCTTAAAGCCTCAGTTTGTTCATCAGAAAGTGGAGATGTTGCCTCATTCATTTGGCTTTAAGGGATTAAGTGAGACTCTACATTGAGGTTCAAAACTGGAACATTGTAGATGCTCAGTTAGTGTTATTCCTTTCTCTTCCACCAGAAGGAGGTCGGTGTTACACATTTATTTCTGTTTGATGAATGGTTTAGAAACTTGTGTGGGTTTTAATTTAGTGGAATATTGCAGGAACAAATTTTATTTTACTTTTTATCTTCAAATTTAACGCTGTGTCATGGAAATAGTTTTTCACTATTCGTTGAACACTTGAATTATTTGTGGGCTAAAGATATTAGGCATTCCTTAAATCTCCTTTTAGTATGCAGACCGCTCACTGTTAAACCCTTTCTTAGGGGATTATGTAATTAGATTAACAATGAAGTCTTCTTTTTAGAGGTGTTTGCTGTGAGAGAAGCTTACCTTTTAATTAATTAAATAATACATTCATTTAGTCAGTCATTTTAACATTTGTTTACTTTGTTTGGGTCAGGCACTGTGCTGGACTCTTGAGACTTCAAGATATTTGTGGTGAATTCTACGAGAAGCAGTATAGGATACTGGGTAAGAGCCAAGATTCTGATGACAAATGGAGAATCTAGGTTCTGCCACTTACTGTCATCATGGTCAAATTACATTTTCCACATTTGTGAAATTAGGTTACTAGTACCTACCTCTTAGAGTCATTGAGAGTACTAAGTAGAATGTTTATAAAGCGGTCATCACAGACCTAGGCACATGGACTGCCACGTGGATCTAACCTTCTCAGGTCTCTGGTATGTGTATAGTGAGTACTGCTGCTGCTACTTTGTTTTCTGACGAAATAGATTATTTTGGTATAATGGAAGAAATTAGAGGCTGTTTAGAAAAAGTTAAACTGATTATCAGGGGATTAGGGTGCTAATTCCAGCTCTTCTACTTGTTAGGTTAGTGGACATTTAAACTACTCTTAGTTTCTTTGCTTTTAACGTAAAGAGAACAGACTCAATAATCTCAAGATTTCTTCAAACTCTTAATGGTCTGATATAGGTTGTGATTTTTCAATATCATTAGATTTGAGCAGCCATCTACTAAATGGATAGAACTATGTTAGGTTATATGAGCGAAAATAGAATAAACAGGATGGCTTCTGCTCTCCACAAGTTAATGGTCCAATTGTGAAGATATTATGCATATGAAACCCGTAACAGAATCCAGATAGCATTGAAATGAGAAGGGCATGTATAGTCTGTAAGTAGGGGTGGATTGCTGTTATCCAGACTGGTTAGAAGTAAAACTTCAGCAGAGAGAGAGAGACTGTATGTTGGTCTACAGATCCAACTGACTTGCTGTCACCAACCTTCCGTTTCGCTTACTAGAAGATCCTCAGTAAGCCTTGTCTGCTCTTTCATAGAACAAGGACACAATATTCCCTTCAGCCAGAGTATTATTATAAAGGTTCTCTGTTTGAGCAAGATCTGACTCACAGCTTTGAGCTGGATTGCCTAGATTATCTAGGGCTTTTATCTCTTGCTCTCTTCCTTACTTTCCTCAATTTCAAAACTTCTATTACTGCCTTTTCTGTAGTGTCTCATTTTTTTTTAAATGGTAACATTTTTTGCTTCAAGTTAAATTTGTCCATATTCATGTCTCATTTTTTGTTTGTTTAGAATATTAAACTGAAATAATACTGTGTCTTCTGTCTCCACAGATTTTACAAAATTATTTTTTGAAGCTTTTCTTTAGTGAAAGTGATTTTACCTTTTTCCATTACTATTTTTTGTGCCCTATTATGTAGTTAGAGATGTATAAGTGTACTCATCTATAAGTTAGCTCATTTGCTTTTAGAAAGCAAATAGAAATTACTTTGAAAATTGTTTTTCTTTTTCTAATTTGTTACTGGCACACTCTCCCTTCAGAGCATGCCTGTCTGGCAGTCTTCAGGATCTGATGCCTTTTTAAATTTAGCAAAAATGTTATACGCCATGTAACTGTAGTTTAGATTTAAAAATACTATACCTCAGGCATAGTAACTACTGAGTCAATGTATATAAAATGAAAATGCAACTAATTGGTGTCCTCCTGAACTGTGGCAAAGTCAAAGTTGAAAATTACTGACGTGTAGAACCAAAAAGATATATTTGGTTGTGAGAAATGTCATTTTACTGTTTTGACTTCTTTGTTTTATTTTGCTCATTGCTTTTATTTAATTTGAGAGACTTATCCCTGAAGTATTAATTAAGAGTGGACTGTGGAGTGGGTAAATATAAGAGGATTTAGGTTAAAAGTGTGTATACTAGTGTCTGGTTGCTTAAGTTAAAATTGTAGTTTTGCCACTTGCTAGCTGTGTGACCCTGGGCAGGTTGTTGAACTGTGTTCCAATTTTCCAGACTAAAACAGGAATATATACTAGCTCCTACTTCATGAAGCTGTTGTGACAATTAAATGTAATAATATATAGAGAGTTCTGTGTCTGGCACTTAGTAACAGAATACACCTTAGCTGTTAATATTGCGGTAAGAAGTTAGTAACAGCTCAAGCAATAATAGTATACGTACCTTTAATATTGAGGCAAGTGACTAGGCAGCAATTGGTTGTCTGGGATTTGAGGAGAGGCCAGGCAGAGTACTCTTCATTATAAGACCTTTTTTTAAAAAATATTATTTAATTTTCTTAAAGATATGTGCTTTGATAGGAGGAGTGTTTATTGAGCATCCAGGTATTGTCTTGACACTTTGATATGGCACAAAGTAATGAGGAATACAAAATAAGGCATTGTAATATAATGAAAGATGAACTAGAAGCCTTCAGATCCCTTAGGATAGGTGAAGGTGAGTGAGTGAGTGAGTGTGTGTGTGTGTGTGTGTGTGTGTGTGTTGTTAAAAATTAAAAATGCATTGTGTACCTCCTTTCCTCTAGAGAATATCC